ATTGGCTTCTGTCTCGTGCGCTACCTCATGCTGAACCTACATATGCGGAGCGCAAAGCTGCCAGCCTTGACCTCAAAGGAATTCGTCGGGCCCTCCTGAAAGCTGGGAAGCGTCGTGCTGGGCCCTCCTGGGCCCCTCCCCTGGAGCTATGGTGGCTGGTTTTGCACCCGCTCAAGAATTGCAAGGTGAAAATGGCTGGTCTTGGTGCATCGAAAGAAGGGCTGCGTCTTCCTGAGTTCCAGAAGTTTGTCTTCGGGAGTCTGGCGAGGATTCGGAGTTCGGGCTGGGCACCTATCAGATGGCACTGTAGTGAAGGGGCTCCTCTTCCTAAGCCTGATGGGAAAACTCGATGGGTCCACCTCCTAGATCCCATGGGCAAGCTCTTCATGACTAGTTTGATGCACCAGCGTGGGCCAGGGTTTTTTGGCGACTGTGACCACGGACTTGTACCGTATCATAGGCGAGAGGAGGCGCAGCTTGTACAGAATATTAGTGGATATCATCTGTGGCGTGAAGGTCTCTCGCACGTGACGAACGCGCATGACCTCGCCAACGCGTTCAGCTCGAGTAGTTGGGAATCTATGCGAACGGCAATTTCATGTATGTTCTGGGCAGAGTCCTTGGGATTCGGGGAGCAACGATATAGGTGGGCAGTGATTCAGCTTCGGGGTTCTGATGAGCAGGTGACGTTACGACCCAGCAGCGGGGGCCTCATGGGAGACGGATTTGCCGTTCGCTCGTTCGTGCACACGTTCTCGCCTGCTGTTGAGCGCTGGCGTGAGGCCCAGCACCAGTGGGATCGCTACTCTCGCGATTTGCATGTCCGCTGCCCCGTGTCTGGCACGATGCAGGACCTGTCCCTAACTAAGCACGCGGATGATTTGACTAAGAAGCTGGTGGGAGGGAGGTTCACTAGTCTACGGGAGCTTATCGAGCTTAGCCGACGTAGTAATGATGATCTAGACGAATCTCTCCTACGGGAAGGGTACAAGCAGAATCTTAGCAAGCAGGATACGTTGGTATGTCTAGTGGGGAGGGGCTCTTCTGAGGCACTTCGACTTCTGCGCGAAGGTGCCCTGTCTTTCCCTGGGCGTGCCGCGCAGATTATTAAATCGCTAGGCTTCCGCGTGTCTGCTCAGCCTCATCGGTATGCTGTCGAACTAAAAGCAAGATGTAACGCAATGCAGTCTGGTTTTTACTCCATGGGGATGTTCTGGCAACTTCCTGGGATACCGCATCGATTGCGACGCTGTCTTTTCATGAGCAAGGTTTATAATGCAGGACTCTCTGGGATTGAGGCGTATGTGCCTACTGGTGCAGAATATCGGAGGCTGACGAATCAGATTGCATCCTTTGCTCGGCGTGCTATGCGTGGTGATGCGTTTGATCCACACGCTGAGCGCCATCCTCGTTCTCTCTCTAATGCAGATGTGCTGGCCTACTGGCGGCTGGTGTCTCCCGAGCTGGAAGCTCGTATTCGGCGACTACGGTTCTTGCAGGAACTGGTACGTCGGCCGCAGTTTCACAAACAAGTCATTGCAGCGCTCTTCGCTACTGTTGGAAAATGGCACTCGTTTCGGGGAAATGGTTGTCTAGGTCCTGAGGCTCATCCCTGGGTAAAGATGTATTGGGACGACGTGGAGGCCCTGGGAGTCCTTGGAGAGGGTCCCGACCTGCTCGCTCTTCTTGATGGGCGTTTTCTGGAGCTGTTTCGGTCGGAGGAGGCGGGGGAGAAGTTTATGAGTATTGATGTTCGTGAGCTTCGGAGTAGATCCTTAGCTGTAGCCGTGCCCCCTCCTGAACATGTTCCTGGCCCTGGACCCGAGCCTGAATTTACCCCTAGCGTGATCGAAACCGAGAAACAGTATAAGTGCATGATGTGTGACAGCAGTGGCAGCATTTGTGGAGCTATCTTACCAGACCGACGTGCAGTACACACCCATATTATAGCTAGACACGGATATCAAGCTCTATCGAGTATACTGAGTGTCTCAAACCAATGCTGTGTGTGTCTTACCACGTTCGCCTCACGGACAATATGTCGGCGACATCTGCGTGATTCGTTAGACCGAGGATTCTGTAGTGAAGTACAAGTCCGACACCTTCAGCCTCCGAGTATCCCTTCGTCGTACCAGTGTCCAATATGTGTTTTCTATGGTCGCAGCTTTGAGGCTCTTCAGAGTCATCTGAGAACACACCTTGATCCTTGTCCTGAGCCCCACCCTCCTTGGCTTCGAAGTCGCGGCGCCCATGAGCATGGACAAGCGCCCCGCCTGGATGCTCGAGGCCCCGACGCAGGTGGAGGACGGCAGCGGCGAGCCAGCAGCCAAGAGAGCGGCTTCCGCAGCGAAGGTCGTCGAGGCCGCCAAGAAGCAGGCTGGAGGGCAGGGGGGCATCCTGAAGCAGCTCGTGATCATTCTCACGAAGCTGTCTCTCACCAATGCCGCAGAGTTGAGGGACATCTGCGGCGTCGTTTTTTTCACCTTCCTGGTTCCGATGGAGAATGTCGCGGCCAAGGCCGCCAAGGCAGCCGGCGTCAAGTATCACGCCACCGTGCAGTCCTTGAAGGAGAACGGCGGCGACGGGTCCTCTCTCGGCCCCCCGTTTCTGCAGGTGTGGGCGGCACTGATTCAAGCCGCAGGGCAGGGTCCTCAGTGCCCCGAGGATTGCAAAAAGTGTTTCTTGGCGTATTGGAACGATGTCGTGTTGCAGCGAGATCTCATGGCGCTCGCGGACGAGGTGCGGGCTTGTCGCATCAGAGTCACACGCAAGCAAGAGCAGAAGTCAGAGAAGTTCAGGTTGACGTTTGCGGTGGACTCTCGAGTGCCCGATCTCGAGCGCTATCTTGTTCAGTACTTGAAGACGGTGGGCGGAGAGCGCAAGGTGGGAGCGGCTCCACGTGGGGCCCTGGAGAGAGACGCGTCGAAGTTGTTGGATCGGATCACGCGCTGAGCGGAGTGAGTAGGAGGATAGCAAGCGGAGATGAGCAACAGTATGGAGTGGGGGACGTGGGAGCTGGGACGGTGGGTGGCGGGGAGGAGAAGGCAGAGGAGCGGCGTTTGGCTGCCGCTGCGAACGCCCGAGCTGTGGCCCAGTTCTCTCGCGAGATATCGCGACGACCGATGCTGGCGAATTCGGTTCGTCTCAGAGAGTTGGCGGCTAGAGGGGCCCTCAGTCTCCGACCTCCCCCCCCTCCTCCGAGTGCTGCTGCTGCTATTGCTTCCTCCTCGTCCTCGGGGGCCCCTCAGCCTTTTAGACTTGCCGAAAATCATGTCCTGGAGGGAGTCTCTGGAGACCCGCGCCAGTTTATGGCCCAGGGACGCCGAGTTTCAAGACCAAAACCTAAGCCGCGGGCGAAGTCTCGGGGGTAATTTTTTTACTTTCTTTTGTAGGGCCTCGAAGGCCGTCTGATTGGTGAGTTTGAGTCGTGCCACCGCCCCCCTTGAGCGCGTACGCCCGCGCCGCAGGGCGGGTTGGGGCCCGAGCACTCGGCCGTGCCTGCAGAGGCTGGATGCCGTGTGAAGCTGCCTGCGAAGGCCACTCAGGGGCCAACTTTTTGCTGCCATGAGGTGACTCGTGGACACGGCCCCCCAGAGTCGATCTGATCTGATCTGATCTCCTCCTCCTCTCCTCCTCCTCCTCCTCCTCTCCGGCTCTCCTCCTTCTCCTCTCTTTTCCTCCTCCTCACCTCCTCCTTCTCCTCCTCATCCTCTCCATCCTCCTCCTCCATCATCCATCCTCCTTCTTCGCCTTCTCCTCCTCCTCCCCCTCCTCCTTCTCTCCTCCATCCTCGTCCATCCTCCTTTCATCCCTCCTTCCTCCATCCTCCCTCCTCCTCCTCCTCCTCCTCCTCCTCCTTCTCCTCCTCCCGCCGGTTCTGGCCCGCCACGTTTCGGCGCGACGCGCTGTCCTCGACTACACGCGAGAGTGGCCCTTCGCTGGAGTGACCCTCGGTGCGGGCCCACTCGGGCCCCTCGATCGCCGAGCGCGAGGCGACCGCAGTGGCCTGCAAGTTCGGCTCTGGGCCCCCCGGCGCCCCCACTGAAGCCGCGCACCAGAGGTCACGCTGGCCCAGGGTCACCCTCTTGCATGTGCAGTCGGGGCCCTGAAGAAGGAACCCTTTTCGTTGGGGAGGGGCTCCGCGTTCCTTAAGTGTTTCACAGCTTGCCTCAGGTTTTCCTTATGTTTTCGATGGGAAATCGAAGCTCAACTTATGGTAAAAAGGGGCCTCGTTCCTTATTTAGGGTTCCTTAGGTCAACGCCCCGACTGTAGTCGATCTCCGCTTCCCACCCCCAAGCGCCAACGTCAACGTCCCCAGCCATTCCGAGCCCCTCGCCCCTCCGGAGCGGAGCGGCACGCTATCCGCTCGCAGGGTATAGCGTGTCGCCGGGGCCGCCGTGGCGACACGGTGCCCAAAAGTTTCCGGGGGGAGGAGGAGGAGGAGGAGGAGGAGGAGGAGGAGGAGGAGGAGGAGGCGGAGAGAGGAGGAGGACTGGAGGAGGAGGAGGGGCAGGAGGAGGGGGAGGAGGACGAGGGGAGGAGGAGGAAGGAGGAGGAGAGGAGGGGAGAGAGGAGGGGGGGAGGAGGAGGAGGAGAGGAGGGGGAGGAAGGAGGAGGAGGAGGGAGGAGGCGGAGTGTAGGAGGTAGGAGGAGAGGAGGAGGAGGAGGAGGAAGGTGGAGGAGGAGGTAGGAGGAGGAGGAGGAGGAGGAGGCGGAGTGGCCCCAAAGAATGTTCCCATCTCCCGACGTCGTTGCCTTTTCCACCAGCGTCGGCCCCAAGAGGTCTGGGCCCTTCCCCGGCGGACCCCCGGCTATCATCCTGAGCTGTTTTTTGACGGTCCCCGAGGCCGGGGAGGCCCCGGAGGCCGACGAAACTAGCGAGGGAAAACCACCGTAGCATACCGGGGGTTCGGGAGGAGGTCGGAGGAGGAGGAAGGAGGAGGAGGAGGAAGTAGGAGGAAGGAGGAGGCGGAGGAGGAGGGAGGAGGAGCAGGCTGAGCAGGAGGAGGAGGAGGAAGGCGGAGGCGGGAGGAGGAGAGGAGGAGGTGGAGGAGAGGAGGAGGAGGAGGAGGAGGAGGAGGAGGAGGAGGAGTGAAGGCCGAGGAACGGAGGATGTAGGGGGGAGGAGGAGGGGGCGGAGGAGGAGGGGAGGAGGAGGAGGAGGAGGAGGAGGCGGGGAAGGAGGATGGAGGAGGATGAGGGGAGGGAGGAGGGAGGATGAGGAGCGCGTCGCGGAGGGTCCCAGGGGCACGACCGCCGCGCATTACTGGTGGAGCCACGCGGCGCGGTTCTGGGAAGCAATTTGGGCGGGCCTCTCCGCGGGGCCCTCTCCGGGCCCCGCGGGACCAGGAACAAGAGAAACGCCGCGGGAGGAAAACCCAGACATGATCGCGTCGTTAAAAAAAATCAGGGCGAGAGGTTTTTGGCCATTTCGGCCTCGGGGGGCCCGCGCCGGGCCTCGGGACCGTCAGCAAAACGGCTCGGGATGAAGAGCCGGTCCCGGGGAACAGGGACCCCGATCTGAAAAAGTCAGGACGGCGCAGGTCTGGGAAGCCGGTCCCCGGGAATTCGGGGGCAACGACAAGGGGGGCCCTGACTCCGGATCCGCCCTACTTTGGGGAAATTCGTGAGTAGGGCTTGGAATTCCGCCTTACTTTTCAAGCCCCGCTGATGCCAATTTCCGCCCTACTTTCCTGTAGCTGTTTCCGCCCTACTTCCATGGATTTCCGCCCTAGTTTATGTTGGGTGCAGAAATTTCCGCCCTACTGTTTCGGCTTCTTATTGGTGGATTTCCGACGCAATTTTAAGGTGGAAAAAAAGCCAAAGTAGGGCGGATCCGGAGTCAGGGGGAGAGGCACAGGGGGGGACGCATCGACCCCCCAGTCGCCCCTTGATCGCCGAGGGGGGCCCGATGGCCACAGCCTGCCCGGGGAGGCGCGGGGTCGCTATCGGGGGCATCGCGCCGATCCATCGGCGATGCATCGCCGAGTCCAGGTCGACGTTCCCCCCCTATCCCTATCCCCCCCTATCGTCGCCTGGGGGGGGGCATCGACCCCCAATCGCCCCCTGATCGCCGATGGGGGCCCGCTTCAAGCAGCGGCGAGGCGTCCTGGCTCGCCTGGAGCCCTACCAAGCAATGTTCTGAGAACCTTGTGTGGTTTCCACGACATGGTCTCAGAACATTTCTGGCGGAGTCTGTCTTGTTCCCAACCATCCTGTGGTGTTGGGTCCTCGTTTTGAAGAGACGGTGGCCCGCGTCTCCTCCTCTCCTCCTCCTCCCCCTCCTCCTGCGTGTGCCCGCATGCGTCCCGCACACCCATTTCGGCACACCCCTCACACGTTTCGTGGCCCCATAGGGAGCTCCACCGAAGGTCCCAGTGGGTGTGCCCGCATGCGTCCCGCACACCCATTTCGGTACACCCTTCACACGTTTCGTGGCCCCTTAGGGAGCTCCACCGAAGGTCCCAGTGGGTGTGCCCGCATGCGTCCTGCACACCCCTTTTGGCACACCCTTCACACGTTTCGTGGCCCCATAGGGGCTCCACCGAAGGTCCCAGTGGGTGTGCCCGCATGCGTCCCGCACACCCATTTCGGAACACCCTTCACACGTTACGTGGCCCCATAGGGAGCTCCACCGAAGGTCCCAGTGGGTGTGCCCGCATGCGTCCCGCACACCCATTTCGGCACACCCCTCAACTTTCGTGGCCCCCCAAAGGGAGCTTCCACCGAAGCCACCGAATGGCCCCCAGTGGGATTGTGCTTTTCCGGCATGCGTCCCGCACACCCTTGCGGCACACCCCTCACACGTTTCGTGGCCCCACAGGGGGCTCCGCCCACGCGGCCATATCCAGTGCCGCATTGGCGTCCCGCGACACCCATTTCGGCACAACCCCTCACCACGTTTTCGTGGCCCATAGGGAGCTCCACCGAAGGCCCCAAATGGGTGTGCCCGCTTGGCGTCCCGCACACCCATGTCGGCACACCCTCACACGTTTCGTGGCCCAATTTGGGAGCTCCACAGAAGGTCACAGTGGGTGTGCCCGCATGCGTCCCGCACACCCATTTCGGCACACCCCTAGCAGGCTTCGTGGCCCCATAGGGTTCTCCGCCGAAGGTGTGTGCCCGCATGCGTCCCGCACACCAATTTCGGCACACCCTTCAGACGCTTCGTGGCCCCATAGGGAGCTCCACCGAAGGTCCCAGTGGGTGTGCCCGCATGCGTCCCGCACATCCATGTCGGCACACCCCTCACACGTTTCGTGGCCCCATAGGGACCTCCACCGAAGGTCCCAGTGGGCGTGCCCGCATGCGTCCCGCACACCCATTTCGGCACACCCCTCACACGTTTCGTGGCCCCGTAGGGAGCTCCACCGAAGGTCCCCGTGGCGCAGTCCGCATGCGTCTCCCTCACCCAGTACAGCGTTTCCTGGCCCCATTGGAGCCCCACCGAAGGTCCCCGTGGCGCAGTCCGCATGCGTCTCCCTCACCCAGTACAGCGTTTCGTGGCCCCATAGGGAGCTCCACCGAAGGTCCCCGCGGACGACCCGCGCGCGTCGCTGGGACCCTCTCGGGGCGACCAGCGCGCGTCGCAGGAGCTCCGTGCTGCGTTCTGCCCAGCGCCTCGCCCGCCCGTCGTCGCTCTGCCCAGCGGCAAGAGCCTTGCCCGCTATCGGCCAGCCAGCTAGTTCTCTCTGCTCCGCGCAGCGGACGACCCGCGCGCGTCGCTGGGACCCCTCCCTGGGCGACCAGCGCGCGTCGCGGGGACTAGCCAGCTAGCTCTCTTTGCTCCGCGCAGCGGACGACCCGCGCGCGTCGCTGGGACCCCTCCGGGGCGACCAGCGCGCGTCGCGGGGACTCCGCGCTGCGCTGCGCCCGCAGCCTTGGACTTTGAGTGCGCGGGCCAAGAGGGAGTAAAAGAAGGGGGGGGAAGCGGGCGCGATCCTCGCGGGGGGGCGCGCCGACATTGGCGTCGCAGCGCGCGGGCGATGTCGTCGGGGAGCCCCGGGGAAGCTCCTTGCGGCGGCCACGCCCAGCGTCACGAGTACTCAGAGGCAGTCACTCTCAAACTATTGACATTCGTATACAAGTACACCATGCTTTGTCATATTCGAATTCATGCACGTAGACTCGCTCGCACGCAGATTCATTCACAGTCAGACGCACTCGCGCTCATGTTCACCCGCGCTCAGTCTCCCTACGTACTCAGATCAATCGTTTTCGTTCGCGTTGTGTACCACGTCATTCATGTCGGCACACCCCTAGCACGGTTCGTTGCCTCATAGGGATCACCACCGAAAAAGTGAATCACAATTGCGGTACTCACACCTGCATATGGTTGGGTCCTCCGTCAGGCTAATTTTATCACATCGGGCTTATGTTCTAAGAACATTGTTTTTGTTCTTAGAACACTGGTGGGTCTAAGTGCATTTCGTGGTAGGCCTATAGGAATGCCGGGACGGTCGGTCCCTGCTCAACCGATAACCACAACCTGCCCAGGAAGGTGCGGGTTCGCTATCGGGGACCAATCGCCGATCCATCGGCGATGCATCGCCGATTCCAGGTCGACGTTCCCCCCCTATCCCTATCCCCCTCTATCGTCGCCCAGGGCTGGACCTAAACGGTGTTTTTGGCGATTTCGTGGGCCGTTTTCGTTTCGACTTAGTTTTGAGGTAGAGGCGGATTCGAAACAAAAGCGAGGGAGAACGAACACAAAACGAAAATGAAAAACACTGTTTCGGTTCAGCCTTTTCGCCGCCCCTCAGGAATGGAGGAGGAGGTGGAGGTGGAGGAAGAGGTGGAGGTGGAGGAGGAGGAGGAGGAGGTGGAGGAGGAGGAGGAGGAGGAAAACGCGGAGGAGGAGGAGGAGGAGGAGGAGGAGGGGCAGGAGGAGGAGGCGCCTCGGCTTCTCCAGGCTCTGGGTATGCGCATCCGGTGCCCTCTGTCCGGCCCCCCCCCTGCCTTGCGTCAGGGACTTTCTTCTTGCTCGGCATCGCTCGGGCGTGTGCACCTGGTCTGGGCGAGGGCCCTCGAGGAGTATCCTGGAGCGTCGGGCAGCAACAGAAGAAAATGCACGCGCGAAGCCAAACCGTGCACGGCGGAATGGGCGTCCGAGCGCTGGCGAGCGTGTGGTTGAGTCGGGCACGTCCCTCCACAGGAGGAATATTCAAACATCGTCAAGACATAGGCTGGGGGCAATTTTGTTTTAGCATTTGTTGATCACCTTTTTTTGAATAGTTTTGTCTAGCTTGTCATCTTTCGTCGACAATGCACTTGTCTGGGGGACACGCCCGACCTAAGTTTCAGTCGGGCTTGTCCCTCTACAGAAGAAATGTTCAAACATAGTCGAAACATGGTCACTGGACGATTGTTTAAACCATGTTTGACTATTTGGGGAACTTGTTTGGCAATGCTTATTTTTGTTCGCCCAAAATTCGCCTGTAGGGGGACATGCCCGACCTAACCCTAAGTGCATCCCTGACTCCAGATCCGCCCTACTTTGGTTTTTCCAACTTAAAATTGCATCGGAAACCCACCTAGAAGAAGCCGAATAAGTAGGGCGGAAATATCTGCACCCAACATAAAATAGGGCGGAAATCCACAGAAGTAGGGCGGAAACAGCAACAGAAAAGTAGGGCGGAAATTGGTATCAGCGGGGCCTGAAAAGTAAGGCGGGACTTCCAAGCTCTACTCACGAATTCCCCCAAAGCAGGGCGGATCCGGAGTCAGGGCTGAGCCTGCCAGAGGTGAAGCGCATGGACGGGATTGGTTCTCGAGGTGCAGAAGCCCCTGTGGGGTTTCACCCTGAGCCCTCCACCCGAAGAAACTGCGCAGGTGGATTGCTCCTCCTCCTCCTCCTCCTCCTCCTCCTCCTCCTCTCCTCCTCCTCCATCTCCTCCTCCTCCATCTCCTCCTCCTCCTCTCCTATCCTCCTCCTCCTCCTCCTCCTCCTTCCTCCTCCTCCTCCTACCCTCCTCCCCTCCTCCTCCTCCCTCCTCCTCCTCTCCTCCTCCTCCTCCTCCTTCCTCCTCCCCCTCCCCCTCCTCCTCCTCCTCCTCCTCCTCCATCTCCTCCGGGTGCCTCGCGCGTCGCCGGGCGCGGGGGGCCACGGCTCGGCGCGGCGCTCCAGAGCGGGCCCCGCCTTCGGCGCGCGCCTCGCCTCCGGCGGGGGGCAGGGCGGGGGCCGGGCGGCGGCGGGCCCGCCAGCGGAAGCGCGGCGGAAGGGCGGCGTTGGGCGTTGCGTAATGGGGGGGTCATAAATGGGGGGTGGCGAGGGTGGTCCGAAAAGGTACCCAAACGGTACCTAAACGAGCCCCCTGAGGCTCCAGAGGGGCCCGAAAGGGGCACGAAAGGGGACCTTTTCTGACCCCCCCATTTGTGACCCCCCCATTAAGCAACGCCCAACGGCGGCAGGTAGGGTGAGAGGCCAAGTTTTTCTCAAAGGAGGAAAAGGTACCCATACCGCTACCGTTTTTCAGGAGAGGGACAAACACACAGGCACAATGAATCCTCGATGCCCCAGAAAATATGGGAAAATATAGGGAGTGGTGGGGAAGACAGAAACCCAGAACATATGGGGAAATATGGGGAATATTTTTATTTGTGTGTATTTATTGGTGTGTCCTGGGGCCCCTTCAGTTCTCCCCTTCTTGAGCTTCCCTCGTCGTTGCCGTTGGATTCGCCTCGAAATGCTGGTCGGAGCGCGCCCCGGGAGAGGCCCGGGGAGCAGCGGTGTCGGTGCTCCTTTGGTCTCCCCAACGCTTTGGATTCTTTATGACTCTGGAGTGGCCCAGGTGGCCAGAGGCCGCGGCCCTCTGGGAGGAGGGGGATGGGCGGGAGGAGGGGGCAGGGTGGGTCTGGGGTGGGCCTCGGAACCCAGACGTGATCGCGTCATAACAAAAATCAGTGCGAGAGGTCTTTGGCCATTTTCGGCCTCGGGGGGCCCTCGCCGGGCCTCGGGACCGTCGAAAAACGACTCAGGATGAAAAGCCGGTCCCGGGGAACGGGTCTGGACTTCCAGGGACCCCGTCCTGAAAAAATTAGGACGTCGCATGTCTGGGAAGAGCCCCCCGCAGAGCTGATTGGCCAGAACTCGTCCTTGATGGACAAGGGGGGAGGGGGGCGCGGGATCCTTTTTGTGGCCCCCCTTGTACAACCTACGTGGACATGTTCGGCCCTGTTGCAAAGGCGCTGGCCCTGGTCGGCGCTGTTCACGTGCGTGCGGAAGGGGAGGCCTTGGTGACCGAGCTCGCGGAAGAGGTGCTTGCCTGGGAGTCTTGGAAGGTCTTGCCGAGCCCTTGGGAGACCGTCTTCAACCGACCGTCGAACAGGGATGTGGGCTCTGTCACGGAGCACCCCATCTGGGATAAATACGACCTCGAGGTTTTTCCCGACTCTCTCGAGACCGTGCGTGAGCAGGACGGCTTCCCGCCCAACATCGCGATGGGCAGAGTGCTGATCAAGGAAAGCAAGAAGCCCACTCAGCCGCCTCCGAGCTACCGCATGACAGGCGTCGGAGGCGAAGAGGTGAGGCACCTCAACGGCATGGTGAATCCCGCGGGAGCAACCACTGTGTGGGGTTGGCAGAGGATCAGGTATCTGGCCGTGAAGACGTGGATCGACTATTGGGCGACCCGCAACACCGAAAAGTTGATCGTCGTTCACGCCAGTGGCGAGGTCTTGTATGCTGGCTGCGATGAGAACACGATCCAGTACAAGTACGACGAGATCATCACCGCTAGCGGTGGCACTCAGAAGATTGTCTTAGCTGCTGAGGTGAGCCCATGGCCTATGGGCTTGGCGTGGCGTTACGAGCAGACAGCTGGCATCGCGACGACACAGAGCAGCTTCCTGTCAGCTGTGGGCGTCTCGTCCACGTTTGCCTCAACCTATGCCGACTGCACCAACTCGACCGTCGGGTATTGTACCACTCCGGCCTCGTACAAGTTCGCGAACGGAGCATTCATCATGGGCCCTCTCGGGGACATCGCGGACATGCTTGCCGATATGTACTACTATGCGGATTCAGAGAGCATGCTTATCAACGAGTATTTCCTCCACAACCCTGACAAGGTTGCTCTCGACTACGCCGGGATCCTGGTGCTGTCCCTGAACAACATGAAGCTGGACTCGGGCATCCCAGTCACAGTGGAGAGCGCCTCGGGCACGAAGTCGTTCAAGAACCTGATCACCGGCGGCAACGTGTGCTTTGTGCACGGCGGCGGCAATTCGTTCGATGCCCTCAAGGTCCTTGCGCAGGAGCTGCTGTCGGACGCGTGAGGGGGCGGAGGGCCTGGCGGCCGTGCCGTGGTCCGGCGCGCGGCGGGGCTCCTAGGCCCTAGAGCTTCTTCGGGCTGAGTGTGCGCCGCTGCGGCGGCCACGCGTTGCCCTTGCCTGCCCTTCTTCGCCTGGCGAGCCGCCTGCTGTCCTTCTGCTCTGCGTCCGCCTGCAGACCCCCCCCTTAGGCCTCCCCTGGGCTTCCGCCCGGCGGCCCGTCGCGCAAAAGCCGCCCCCCGCCCGCTTCCGGCCGGGACTCGGCTCCCCACCCCCAGGGGCACGACCGCCCCCTCGCCCTCGGCCTCCCCCCCCCTCGCTCCCGCCGCTCTTCACCGAGCGCGTTCCACTACTCGCAAGGTGCCTGCTCGCAGACGTTTGCCTCGATGCGGTGGATCGTGGGCCCTCCGCGGCGGATCCGGGCCACTTGCGAGGAACGTCACTTTTGCGAGCAGTGGAACGCGCTCGTCTAGCTCTTGCCTCTGCTTCTGTTCCTCGGCCTCTCCCCCTCCCCTCCCCTCTTCCTCCGTAGCCATTTTGGCTCAAGCCATTCTGGCTCAAGTAAAACATTTCTCGAGGTGGTACAGAGACCAGTTTTCTGACGGCCCCCACAGGTGGCCTTGCCCTGGCCAGGGGGCTGTCTGTCGTTCTTCTCCCCTAGTGCTGCAGCCGCAGCCACAGAGTTAGATCACCATTTACGAGTCAACCCGCCCACAGCAGCTATGGTCAGCGGCAGGCCGAGGCAATGGGTGTGCAGCAAGAAATGCCCTCGCAGTTCGGTATTTATCGACTCTGGCTTTCGCCAGTGCAAGTATTGCGGAGCCAACTTTCAGCCGCCAAACGGTTGGCCTCCGAGGAAGGGCAAGGGGAATGATCAAGGAGGAACCGGAGTTGCGTCGTCAGCCCAACATGCAGCTGGAGCAAAGCAGACAGAGTTGTTCAAATATTGACACAATCGGTATGGGGGAGCCACCCCTCCAGCCAAACTATTGCTACAGCCTGAAGGAGATGGGGATGATGACCAATTGCAAGCGGCCACAACAGTGGCGGCAGATAAGATACACAGCCAGATTGAGTCTCTGGAGAAGTACATCGCCTACGCCAGCTCAGTTACTGACGAGCTCGTCCCAGGTCACGAGCAGAGTCTCTCAGCATCCAGACAGAAGCTTGCACAGCTTAAGGAGCAGGCCGCCGTGCACCTGCCCCACCACAATCAAGTGCATCGAGCGACGGTTCGAGTCAAGCGCGCACGGGACAAAGTGGACAAGCTGCGAAAGCAACTGGAAGAGAATACTGAGTACATTGGGCAGATGGAATCACTACTGGATACTATGCGAGATGACAGCAAGCAGCTGCAGCAGAGGCTCGATGAGGCCGAGAAGCAGCTCAAGACGGAGGAAGATCAGCAATCACATTCATGGGCGACAACAGCCCGTGCGCACTTGGGTGACCTCAACTCCTTCAAACTATCGCTGGAGTCGTTGGTCGCCAAGGCCCCTCAGGACGCCGAGATTGCTCAATTGCTCACTGCAGCACGGCAGCTGGCACAAAAGTTTGAGGAGGCGGCCAATCGTGAGATGCGAGTGGACGACGATGAGCAAGGCCCCAGCCTCGAGAAGCAGCAGCTCGAGATCCTGGAGTCACTCCTGCCAGGTGAGAAACGTGCAGCCTGGGGGGCTAAGAAGAAGGAGCTCGCGAAGGCGGCGGTGTCACAGCCGCCTAAGCCTGCATCTCATCCACCAACGCCGCGGCCTACGGTCGCCAAGCAGCCAGCTGTGCCGAAGCCAGCAGGCCCACGTGCTCCGCCTGGTCCTGGTGCTGGGCGAGGGGCTGGAGTGGGCAAGGGCAACGCCGAGATCGCGGGTCAAGACCCCCTCGTGGCGCTGGAGGTGCAGCCGCGGATTTGTCAGACGACGACGCATCTGAGGCGGCCAGGAGGTCGCCAGGGTAGCAAATGTTGTTCAGCGCCTGCAGGTCGCTGTGAGCCAGGCGCTGATGCAGGCACATGCAGCACAGCATACCATAGTGACTTCAGCCATTATAGGACAGAGTTTTCCGACAGCGATTTTGATTTCGACCAGAGCCAGCTTGAGTGGGGAATTGGTGATGGTGGGGAAGCTATGCTGGTGGAAACATTTAATGGTTCGTCTTGGGGTACCATCAAGCAGAGACTGGGGGAGTTGCAAAATTCCACGGTCGCAGTTTTGGTTGCTCAGGAGATCAAGCTTCTCGAATGGTCCCTGGGAACCGCTAGTGCTTGGGCCATAAAAAATGGATGGAAGTCATTCTGGGCGCCGAGTTTCACGGGCCCTTCTGGCGCGTCTCGTTCCAGTCTCAACGAGCTGGGGGGCGAGGGCGTGTCATCTGGAGTGGCCATCTTCGTCGAAGCCACTCTAGGGGCCTACAATATTGAGCCGCCTTCCTTTCCCCCCGAGGGTATCCTCTTTCGGGGGCGTGCGCTGTCATGTGTGGTAGAGTTCCCGGGGGCCCCAGGTATCCTTTGCGTCTCTGTCTATGGGAAAATCTCAGAGGGCCTTTCTGTCACTAACTTGGAGATCCTGGAGCGTGTTGCCACACACTGCAAAGCGTCAAGCATGCAGTTCATCATTGGGGGAGATTTCAACATGCCGCATGAGTCCCTGGCCTCCTCTGGGTTTTCAGAGGCGCTCGGGGCCCAAGTTTTGGTTTCAGAGCCCCCGTTGGTCAAGGCAAGTCAAAGGTAATCGATTATTTGGTGGTTGAGTCAGAGCTGGCTAAACTCGTCACGTCAGTTTCAACAGATTTTGACTGGCATGGCAGGCCTCACTTTCCTGTGCGCATAGGTCTGCCAACCAGTATGCATCAAGTGAGAATTTTACAGTTCGGCACAGTACCAGCTATGTCGTGCGAGCTGCCAGAGGAGAACGAGATTGGAGTCTCGTCCGTCGATTGGTCGGAGCTGTTGGAGCGCTGCGAGGATCTTTTCCTACCGCTCCAAGGACTAGCAGGGGAAACAAAGCCATCAGGAGTGAGGAGACTTTAGGAGTTTTGTACCGATACTGGGCTCAGAAGGCGGAGAGGGGGGTTGCGGATCGGACGAATTCGAAACTCACCAGGCCAGGAGTTCGAGGATCACTGCCGAAACCACGTCTCGCCCCGCTGGTCCAGAGGAATCCAGTCCACAAATGTTTCGCAGCAGTCGCGCAAGGCCCTTCCTGGCTTGCGTCGCGTATCAGGCGAATGATCCAGCTGCTTAGCTTGGTGGACTTCGCCAAGCCGGCCATAGTTGCAGAGCGCGCGAGAGATCCAGACAGTCTCTGCCGCAAGTTTGCTACCGCCAAGCCACGTCATGTGCTAGAGCATGCTAGTGCCAGCAACAGTTTTCGGACTATTCAGGACATTGCTCGACGGGTTCGTTCGTATCTGCATTGCCAATTGGGGCTCGATCCAGGGAATCGAAACGACTTATGCTTCGAGCTTGAGAAAGAACTTGGCTTGGTGGTAGGATATGCAAGGGCAGTCATTTCAGACTCCCACAGCAAGCACGGGGGAAGTTGGAGAGATTGGGTCACAAATGCACTTAACAAAGGAGCGGGCCCAGCACGTCGATTTTGTAAAGAACAGGTCACATGGGAACCTGAAGTACTTGTGTTTGAAGGGGTGAGGTCTAACAGTGTGCAGGCCTTGATTGATGAGTATAACCGCAAATGCGACAAGTTGTGGGAGGCCGCACCTGAGCCTCATCATCGCACGCCCGTTGTACAGCCAGCATTGCCTTTGCCATCTGTCACCGCGGTGCAGGACATTAGCAAGACGTACTCCACCAGGTCAGCAGTCAGTCTAGATGGCTTTCACTGCCGTCACATGTCTTGCCTGTCAGAGCGAGGAGTACAAGTATTCATATACCTCCTTTGGATTTCTGAGTGCCTAGCAGAGCCCCCGCCTCAGCTTCAGTGGGTTCTTATGGCGCTGCTCCCTGCGGCCTCCAAGGGGTATCGCACTATTGGGATCTTCAGTATGTTCTATAGGGTGTCTGGGAAGATCAGGTTATCATACGCCAGGGCTTGGATGGGCAAGTTTGACCACCCGTGGTTCAGTTGCGGGCCTGGTAGATCTCCTAGTGACGTTGTTTGGAGGCAGCGTGTTAGAAGTGAAGCTTCTAAGGCCTCTGGAGATGCCTCTGCGGGCCTCTTTTGGGACCTGGTTTCCCTTTACGAACGATTTGTGGGAGCCAGGTTGCTTGCCAGAGGCCTAGAGCTACGTTTTAGTCCTACGCTTCTGCAGTTCCATCTTGCTGCGCATGGCTCTGCGAGGTTTGTAGGATACAAGAGAGCAGTATCTAGAGCTTTGTACGCTTTCAGAGGCATTGTGGCGGGATGTTATTTCGCCATAGTTTATGTCATAATCTACTGCTTCCAAGGTTTCCATTTCTATGTGGATGACTTTTCGCTCACGGCGTTCGGCGTGAGCAAGGACGTGTTTATGTGGATTGTGCAGGCCGCCAAGCAGCTTGCCGCAATGATCAAGGATGAGCTGGGCGCCACCTTGTCTGTGGAAAAGTGTTCTCTGGTTGCATCATCTGCAGCGCTCGGCAGGAACGTATTAAAGGCTATAGGGTCTTGGGCAGGGAAACAACAGCAAATCGCCACCAACTTGGGGTCCGACTTCAGAGCTGGGAAACCTGTTGCCGTTTCCAGGGACACCAAGAGGGCCAAGAGGACTCAGAAAGTCAAACAGAGAGCTGCGCGTTTGAGGCAACTCGTCCGTGTTGCGGGCCAGGGAGCACGTAACATTGTAACTTGTGGGCTCTTGCTTGCTGGAGCTTTTGCCTCATGTATTGAATGTTTGTCTAACAAGTATTTGGAGCAACTCAGAGCCATTGAATTATCGGCCACTGGGCCAAAGTGTAGAGGCAACAGCAGATCAGTTACTTTCGCACTGTATGAGTCCAAAGCTGACAAGTGGGCCATGGCGCCAGTGGTGCGATGGGTTCAGGAGGCTTGGGCCGCAGGTATTGGCAAAGCTGGATGGACCCATGGGAACCCTGGGGATCAGACAACTAAAATCACTCTGGGAGAGCATTGAACCACGCTCTGGACTCAAGCATCGTCAAGTTCAAGGACCTGTTACAGCGGCGGCCCCCGCCCTCGACAGGATCGGATGGAACTTTCAAGGGCATTTCGTGCTGCAAACGCACGAGGGCAAGCTGTTCTCGCTAGTCGATATTTCGCCCAAGTTGCTGGAGCACTGGCTTCAGGATGCCTGCACCAGGACCTGGGAGATTAAAGCTGCCAAGAGTCTCAGACAGATCCAGAACGTTCCCAGGGTGTGCCTTGATGTCGCTAGGAGAGTCCTGAACGCCTCTGGAAAAGCGAAACT